CTAAAAAGGTAAATTAAAATAAAACTTTCTTATAATACAGTAATTGAAATTCATGCAATTTCACATACGGTCACATTATTATTTGCAGGAATGCTGTAATAGATACGGTAATGCCTTGATACAATTACTCGCTAAATATTTAGCTATGTGTATGAAAAAAGGAACTAATCAATAAAACGAGAGCTAAAAAGGGAAATTAAAATAAAACTTCTTATAATACAGTAATTGAGATTCATGCAATTTCACATACGGTCACATCATTATTTTACAGGAATACTGTAATAGATACGGTAATGCTTTGATACAATTACTCGCTAAATATTTAGCTATGTGTATGAAAAAAGGAATTAATCAATAAAACGCGAGCTAAAAAGGGAAATTAAAATAAAATTTTCGTATGATACAATAATTGAATCTCAAATACGGTCACATCGTTACTTTACAGGAATACTGTAATAAATACGGTAATGCTTTGACATAATTACTCGCTAAATATTTATTTAAGTAATTTTAATATTCACAAAAAAAAAGGTTCATTATTAAAAAAAAAAAAATGCACTGAGTAGCAATTATCGTTGCAATTAGCAAATGATTGAATACAGAAAAAAAAAAAGATTGTTAATTGTGGTATTATTCACTGTTTATGCAATTTATTCTATGCTAAAATAAAAATATAGTAATTTTAATTAATTTATAGACAAAATTAGTTTTAGTAAATCTAAACAATTTAAAAATTTCACATACACATTAACTTTTAAAGATATTATTTCTTAGCAAATCTTAGTTATTTCATAAATGATCTATGTATAATATCTATCTGTCCTTTAATCTAAATTAAACTAAGAAGCAAAGAAGGAGTAAATGATACTGCGACTGAGAAATTTGATCATTTTTAAAAGTTTTACATTGAATAGAAATATTTGAAAAGGACAAAAAAAAAAAACATAATTGGATGAAATATTAGTCAACAATTTCAAAGAAAATTTTCAAATGTTTGCTGAAAATAAAATTTAATGAATTCTGATTGTTAACAAAAAAAAAAAAAGAAAAACGACGAGAATTATATATCATACAAATTAGCATTTTCAAAATTGAATTTTATAAAATCTATGCAAATTTCTCCTAAAATTTGATAAAGTAATGATTCAATTTGAACAAAGTAATGAATAAAGTACAAAGTATGTTGTTTCTATAAGTTATATGGACAAGTAAAAATTAACTCTAAGATATGAAAAAATTTTTTGAATATTATAACCAATAAATTGAATTAGATGTTTAGCAAATTTTTTAAAATCATTTTGCTTTAAAATTTGATTTTTTCTGCAATTTGTTTTTTCTAAGTATTTGAAACAAAAATTTTAGGAAAGAGAAAGTAAAAGTTTTCATATATTCGAAATAAAAATGTTAAAGTCGAGAAAATAGCAATTTGTTTTTTCTAAGTATTTGAAACGAAAATTTTAGAAAGGAGAAAGTAAAAGTTTTCACATATTCGAAATAAAAATGTTAAAATGGAGAAAATAGAAGCTTTCATCCATTCGAAAGAAAATTGTTAAAAAGAAAAAAGAAAAACATTTTTTCTCTTTTTTTTTATAAATTAAAATTTCAATAATAACTAGAACTGCTAATCATTACTTTCATTTATTTCTTTGCCATTAACTAGCAAAGAAATAAGCAAAACTTCAGGAAATAATATGCTTTTAGCATGTAAATATTAATTTTGCTTAGAAAAAAGCAAAAAAGAGTTTAAAGAAAAAAAAAAAAAGGAAACAGAAATGCTTTTTTGAATTCAAATTTCCAAGATATTCAATTGATAAGATATATCAATCGTAAGTGAAATTTTGATTGATATATAAATTTAAAAAATAGATGCTAGTAAAATGAAAAAAAAAAAACTAATAATTTTGTTTTGATTATTAATTGTGCAAAAAAAAAAAAAGGGAAAATATATTGTATTAATGTAATATAAATCATATTTTAATTTTTTATGCATTGTTTATCAAAAATATTTAAATAAATATTTCAATTTTTTGAAATGTTTATTTAATAAGCGAATCAAAAAAAAAACACAAATTACTGTCTTAAAATAATTTCCATAATTTTTTTCTCTTTTTAATTAAATCCAGTAGTTTATTTTGATTAAAAATTTAAATTACATGTTTTGTTGTTGCCTTTCGATTAATTAAAGAAAAAAAAAAAGTTTTATTCTTTTTCAGTTTTTTTTTTTGCTAAGCAAAGAAAATAAACGATAACACTAACAATTAGTATCTTTCATTTATTAAACTTCATTTTGTTTTGAAAAAATAAAAAAATTAAAAAAGATTTAGAAACAATCGATATTTCTTTTTTTTTATTAAAAAAAAGAAAACGGAGAATTGTGTTAGCTAATTAATTTTACTAAATTCATACAATATAACATTTTAATTTTGTAATTGTTTACAAAATTTTTAATTTTTATTTCAAATTATTTGCTTATTTGCTATCATTTTATTTTGCTAATTATCAAATACCGTAATATAACTATAAATTAGATAAAATTAATTTAATATTTTCCACTGATCATTAGTAAATATGTTATTATCTAGCGGTGTATAATTTAGTAAAATATAAATTTAAAACGAACAGCTAAGCAAACACTTAATTTAAATAGTTCAAAAATACTAATTATTAATTGAATGAAGCAGAAGAAATTTTAAAGTTAATAGTGCTGGAAGCGCTTTCGGGAATTATACCCATTAGTACGGGCAAAAAAATGCTTTGAAGAGCAATTTCTTAGCAAACTCTAATAATGATTACTCCATTAATAATTTAATTTTTGTTTTTCAAAAAAAAAAAAAATTCTTTGTTTACAATTAAATTTTGTTGTTCTTTTTAAGCAATTATATTACAAGCAATTATTTTCGAAAACAATAAAAAAAGCATTAAAAATTTGATACAATTATGGGAAAAGTTAAATTAATATAAATAATTCTAAAATTACCCATCAGATCTATCATATTAGTAGCCTGAAATTGTTGTACAACATATTAGTAGCCTGAAATTGTTGTACAATAAAGAAATTTGAATAAAAGATTTAAAAAAAAAATTTAACAGTTATAATTCATTTTATTACTTCCATTAATTTTAAATCAAAATTAAAAGTCTAAAATGGCTTACGAATAATTAATTATCAATAAGAAAAAGGAAAAAAAGATATTGTGAACTAAAATTTGAAAAATGGTAAAATGAAAATGAAAAATTTTCTAAATAATTAAAAAAAAACAAAGTGGCTTGTTAATTTCAACCACAAAAAATATGATTTGACCTTTGACCCACCATGTAAATTCTGCCAAAATGTCTACGTCAAAATCATCTACCAATCACAAAGGACATCAAATTAGGAAACGATTAAATCCATAATTTTTTTTTTTTTAAATCCTATCGAGAAAGCAAAAAATTACCGTTTAAAACGTTGTCTATAAAACTAAACACGTAAGTATGCCTTATAATTAAAATCCAATTAATTGATTTTAAAATTTTAAAATCGTAAAATCTGTAATTAATTAATTTTTTTCAATCGATAACAAAAGAAATAAGGCAAAGATAAGATAGCAATGAATGAGATCATCGAGAATTAATTAAAAACTGAAACTAATGAAATATAAAGTTTAAATTCAATTCAGCTTAAAGCGACTAAAATCGATTATCAAAAAACAGAATTTTAAATGTTAATTTTCATTTTAACCATTTTTTTCTTCTTCTTTAGCTCTAACTTATTTTTTAAAAATACCTTTTTAAATATTTGACATTTACTATTTAAAAGTTCAAATGAAAAGAGAATTAAGCAAAAAAAGTTCCACCGATTAATTTTGCATTCTCGAATTTTGGTTGCATTAGCTTCTTCTAAGCAAATTAGTCAAATTCAAGATGATCCATTTGCAGCATTGAACTATCTGAGATAACAGTCATAATTACTGATAAGATTATCAGTTCAGAATAGGAGCAGAGTTATCAGAAGGTACTATGGTCGAGAATTTGTTTAATTTAAATAGAAATTTCAGCTTAAAATAGCAAAGTAGAATTATCACTAATAGAATTATTTGAATGTTATCATTATCATTTATCACTGCATTGTGTTATTTTTTTGACTTACTAACATAATTTATAATAAAGTATTAGATCAAATATTGTCCCATCAAAACAAAAAAAAAAAATAAATAAATCGAAATATTTGCCATTTTATCATTTCTTATAAAAACTTTAATTTAAAAAATTTAAAAAACCTTTTTAAACATTTACATTGATTACATCATTGTTAAACTTTATTATATAATCCACAGTTATAAAAATAAAACTAATAAAAACATATTTAATTATTAATTCATTAAGTAAACAAATAATTTTTTATTTTTTTTTTAAAGTAAAATTTACTTTTCCTAATAATTCGATAACGATTAAAAGAAGAAAAAAAATTGCTTTATATTTCTTTGATTGATAATATTGTTTAATAAATTTTTAAACTTTTTCAATTTCTTCATTTTTCATAGTATGCAAGCAAGCATTTGAAATTTAATGCATACCTTTGACAATAAAAATAAATAAATAAAATAAATAAATAAAATAAATCAGGTTTCATCTTTATTTTCTTATCCTTTACAACATATTTTCATCGATCATAATTTGATGATAAACTGATAACAGTGATGATAATATGAGCATTTAAGACATTTTTATCAATTTAAATAACTTAAAATGGCATCAATTTAAGAAATAATCTAAACTTTTGATTGATTTTATTCAATCAATAAAATCAGTGTAACAATTGAAAACTTTTCAATTACATAAATACTTTATTACATATTTCAAAAGATTTAACATTATTTGTTTGTCACTTTAAAATTTTCAAAATTTTCTACACAAACAAACAATCATATATTATACGATAATATATGCGTAGCAATAATTCCGTATCATTTCCAATTTCAATTTTCCGGAAATTGATTACATAGCATTCATCAACCGTTTTACGGACCATCAAAATCACCGTGAAATCCGAAACCGTCATGAAATCCACCTGAGCTTTCCCAACGCCTTCGCCAGAAACGTCGTCTTACTCCGTAACGAGGCCCAAATGACCATGGCATTCCCCAGCCATAAGGACTAGAATAATGTTTGCCCCAGGCATAGTTGAAGAATGGAACGGAAATGAAGCCAAAGTCATTACCGCCGTGAAATTGCCGCTTATTTCGTTTGCTAGAAAAAAATGAGTAAATTTGAAGCATAATAAAGTAATACTTAATTTTATTATTTCTGATTAAAATTTTGAAGAAAAAAAAAATTGAAATTTTGCATGAAAAAAAAAAATTTAAATTATAACCTTATTGTATTAGCATTAGATATTTGATAACATGACAACAGCATTAGATTTACAGAAAGTATAATAATGACAAGAATATGTGACAGTGTTTTGGAGGACATCTGAAAATTTTTCTTTCATTAATTTGAATTAGATCAAATTCTACAAAAAAAATAAAAAAAAATCATGATCATTTGACCTTTATGACATTTAGGCGCTCTTTTCAGTTCGAGAAATTAACATTCAAATTGTCATAAGTAAATTTTAAGTAATTCATTTAGTAATATTTTAATTAAGCAACGATTATTTGGCTCAAACTTTTATTGTTTCAATCAGTAAAAACGTTAATGTAGCAGCAAATTTGAAATATTTCAATTTAAAAGTAATATAATTTAAAAATTTTTTCCACTTTGTTAACATTTTATTAAATTTCATTCATTTAACTTAACAATAATCATTGCTTTCCTTTCCTTAATTTAAATTACAACAATTAAAATAATAAAATATGCAAATTCTTTACAATTCTATAATTTTGTATCGATCATAATAAACAAAAAGCGAATTATTTTAGCAAAATGAAATACGAAGAAATATTTTTAAAATAATTATATGTATAAGATGATGTAATTTCTAAATTTTAAAAGTTGAAATGATAAGAATATGTTTGTTTACAATTAATTTGCTAAGAACTTGTTCACATACATATATTTTTATTTTGATAAATATTTGTGAATCAATGATTGGTTCTCCGCCAATTTTATAAAATTCAAGTTTGAAATGGAAGTTCAGTAAATTTATTAGCAATTACAATGAAAAGACAAAGTAATTAATCGAAACAATACTTTAAGTAAAGTAAAATGAGTCAGTCACTTTGATAAGTATAAGTCAAAGTCTGATTTAGATGACCTTTCAATTAGTTTTAATTCAGATGACCTTTCAATTATCAGTAAAATACGTGAAATCCCAAGGTAGACTATAATTCCAAACACTTTGCAACATTCACGAACTTTGCCATCCCGAAATATCTTCTCCATCACCAAAAATGACCCCAAGAGACCCCAATGCTGAAGAACGGAAATGCAGAAAATCCTCCAAAAAATTAGAAAAGGACGTTCCGGTCGAATCCTGAAATACAATTCTGTTCAGTTAATTGATAGCATTAGCTAATTAAGAATTTGACCCATTATCTATTTCCAGTATTCTTGTTCATTATTTAATGAACTAAATCAAATCTATTCATTTCTATGAATTAATTACAAATGTCATTCAGAAATAACTTTCACATTCATTTTATTTATTTATTTTTTTATTGGCCAACTTATTTATTTTTATTTTTTATTTATTTTTTTTTGGCTAATTTATCATCAAATAAGAACGAAGTAATTAACATTTCGAATGTAACATATCTCATAAAATGTTTCATCTAAATCAAAAAACCGATAAAATTTTGAAAAATTATTTCACTTAAATCAAAAGTAATGAAAATCCAACAAAATGATTTTATAATAATTATTTCATACAAATTCAATTGCTTTAACATAATGACAAGCAAAAAAAGCTAATTCCATGGCATACAATTTCAAAAAAAAAAAGTTAAGTAAAGGTAAAAAAAGTTAAATAATTCTATCAATAGAAGTACATGTATTGGATAGAATAAAAAATTTAAACAAAACATCAATTGAAATAAGTAAACAAAAAACAAACAAACAAATAAACAAACAAACATTTATACAATTATAAGTATTTGTAATTGTATAAATGCATTAATAATATCATTTAAGTATGTCTTTCAATATTCTTTTCTTTCTTTACCTTAAATTTGAAATGAAACAATTTTTTTTTTTTGTAAAATTTTATTTCAGTATGTTTTTAAATAATTATTTGAATACTTTCAATTAAAATTAAATGAATGCAATGGGTTAGCGCAATGATACGGGCGCTAATGTCGTTAACAATAATTTTTCTCGTTTACATATAGGTTGGATTATGTCACATCAATGTGACATCCTTTTGTAGTCATTGAAAAATTTCGAATTATTTAGTTTAACACTTTTGATGCGCTGTTAAATATATGCTTAAATTCACCGATAATTCTGTCAATTTCAGATCAAAATTATTTTTTCGTAAATAATTACACAAATATTTCTTTGGTTCATCTGTTGAATTCAAATTTTAAATTTGACAATAATATGAATTTTAGAGTTTTAGAAATTTTATGACAATTTAGCAAATTAATTTTTGTATAGAAAAATTAATAGAAAAATTAATTTTTAAATTGAAATTAATTTTTAAATTGAATTGGTGAGCAATTATTAATTATTCATTATGAAACATTTTTCTCGGATTTCTTTCTTCTTCTTAAATTTGAGTAAAAAGAAGGAAAAATTTTAACCCAAAGTTTTTTTTTTAACCCGTATTATTTCAATTTTTTTTTTTTTTTGATCTTTCTTACTAATTTCATTTTTGAATTTAATTCAAATTTTTATTATGAAAGAATTTTAAGCAAATATAAGAGTAGAATAAGTATTTGGTAGACTATACTGTAAATATACTGTAAACATATACTGTAAGTATACTGTAAAATAATATAAGGTGAAATTGTTTGTTTTTTAATTAATTAATTTTAAATTGATATATAAAATGACTTTCGAATTGTATCATCATTATCATTTCCATTTTTGCTGTAATTTTTACATACTTTTCAAAAGTAAATTTAAAGACGTAAAAGTAATTCACATTGAACAAATATTGTAGAGCAAGTATTTGGTAGACTATACTGTAAATATATACTGTAAATATAGTGTAAACATATACTGTAAATATACTGTAAACATATACTGTAAATATACTGTAAAATAATATAAGGTGAAGTTGCTTGTTTTTAATTAATTAATTTTAAATTGATATATAAAATGACTTTTGAATTGTATCATCATTATCACTTCCATTTTTGCTGTAATTTTTACATACTTTTCAAAAGTAAATTTAAAGACGTAAAAGTAAGTCACATTGAACAAATATTGTAGAGTAAGTATTTGGTAGACTATACTGTAAATATACTGTAAACATATACTGTAAATATACTGTAAAACAATATAAAGTGAAGTTGCTTGTTTTTTAATTAATTAATTTTAAATTGATATATAAAATGACTTTTGAATTGTATCATCATTATCATTTCCAGTTTTGCTGTAATTTTTACATACTTTTCAAAAGTAAATTTAAAGACGTAAAAGTAAATCACATTGAACAAATATTAAAATTGTCAAAATTTACCACAATTAAAACGCCAAAATATTTTTGATCAAATTTATGCAATGATTTTAAACGAATTTTTTTTCATTGTGGATTGATAAGTGAAAATTACAGTTTAAAATTTAAAAACATAAAGCCTAACGAATTTCATATACTTTCCACTTACAATTGTTAGCAAAACAAAAGCAAAAAAAAAAAAAGTGATGAATAGCTATATGAAATACATTGAATTTGTTTTTCAATATTTGTTGTAATATTTAATTTGTAATATTTAATTTGAATTTTGTAATATTTAATTTGAATTTAATTTGAATGTTGTAATATTTAATTTGAATTTAATTTTCTTAACAATAATTCAATGTTACTACCGCGTATCATTACTTGTTGTCACTGCTGCTACCTACTACCATCTACCATAATTCAAATTTTATAATATAACAAAAAAAAAAACAAGAAATATTTCTGTACCTCATTCCAGTATTAAATTTGATACAATTTTAAAATTCAATTTCATGTTTAAAGATTTATTATTTTTTTAAATTAAATTAACATTTATTATCTATATTTGCCATCTGTTTAATATTTACTTAACTAATATTAACATTTATTTATTCATATTTTTTTTTTTTTCATTTAACCAAATTATCCATTTTGCTTATTGTGAAAATATTTGTTTAATTTGAAAAGGTAATTATTGTTGTTGAAGCATATAAATTAGTAGCAGGTAGTAGCAAGTGGTGCTAAATTCCACTTAATTAAATGTAATTTTTTTTTTAAAGTAAAACCTGAAATATGAATTTGACCGGAATGCCACATTTTTAATGTCAGTAAAGTTAATAAAATAAAAGTAAAAAAAAAGTAGAAAAACAATTATGAACTACCAATGTTGGATATTTCCTTCTGTTTGATCCACCGTATACAGTTCGAGCTGCGGTATTTCCAACTTCATTTGAAGTTATTTCGGAATATCATTTACATCGGATGAACAGTCCCGGTATTAGTAAATTATTATATATGTGGTTGTAACCGGAAAATTTCGTAGCAGGTGATTCCACGTAGCGTTCAGGTATCGGAGGAAACAGTTTAGGAAGACAACACTTTAATACAACGACAACCATAAGCAAACATTAAACTTTTTGCTAATCATATGCAACGAATGAATCTGGGCTAAATCTGATTTGATTTCGGAATATCAGGAAGGATCGCAATCCGGTTTCAGTCCATATGCATGACTATCAGCTGTCAGTATTTGCTACTACTTGTCACTACCTATTACCACTCACCACTGCATGCTATCACTTGCCCCATCTGCTATCAGTTGCTATTCTGCCACCACCTTTTGCTACCACTTGCTACTGCTTGTCACCACCTGCAACTCTTGTTACCACCTGCAACCTTTCTTAGCACCTGTTACTACTTGTCACCACCTGCAGTCACTTACCATCACTCACAACTACTTCTTACCACTTTTTACTACTTATCACAACCTTCAACCACTTGCCACAACCTCCAACTACCTCTTTATCACTTGTTACCACCTTCAACCACTTGCCACCATCTACGACCCTTCTTACCACTTGCTACCACCTGCAACTACCTGATACCATTTTAGCGTTCACCACCACTACCTACTACCACCTGTAAACCACTTACCACCAGTAGTCATCAATGCTTTCACTTGCTACCACCTGCCACCATTTGCTACCACTCCTTATCTTTCATCACTATCTTCCAACTATCGCCATTTTCTACCAGCTGCAACCACTTGCTACCAGATGTCACTACTTGTCATCATCTGTAACCACTTGCTACCACTTGTTACTACTTGCTTGCAACCACTTGCTGGATCTTGAAAATGGTATTTTAGCCATGGACAATCAATTAAATGTCATTTAATTATTAGAATATGATAGAAAACTAAAGGGATGAAAATTAATTTATAAAGCAAGTGTATAGCAGGTTTTAACAATTTTATCTCGATTAATTCCCTCATTGTTGTTAAGAGCACATAATTGCTTAATTAATTTTTCTGCCACCTGCTAGTAATTGCTATTAGTTGCGATGCAAAATCAGACAATGAAATACCGAATAGCCGTATGAGCGACAATCGTCTAATTTCTCGAATTATATTTTTTAATATTTCATTTAAAATATATAATTTTATTTTTTTTTTATGATTTAATATATAAAGTTTTAATATTTAATATTTTTTGCTTTTTCAATATATTGTTTAAATATTCAAGTTTAAGTTTCTTTACAATAATTCAGCCTTTATAAAACAAATTCGGGAATCATTTCTGAAATGTGAATTAAGTTAAAATTAAAACTAAATATATTTCTACATCTCATTCATGTTGTACAATCATGAAGTTTCATTTTATATTTGTAAATATCAATTGAAATTTTAAAAATTTTTCATTTAGTTGATTAAATCAGTTGCTGATATTATTAGAATTAAAATCATTATTTGCTTAATTTGAATAGGTATTTCATATTGCTAAAGCATATGAAAATTAATTAATAATTTATATCAATTATTTTATAAATCACTCATTTTATCACTATTTCTTATTATTTATTATGATTATTACATCAATTATTATTTATCATTATTTCTTATTATTTATTATGATTATTTCATCAATTATTATTTATCATTATTTCTTATTATTTATTATGATTATTTCATCAATTATTATTTATCATTATTTCTTATTATTTATTATGATTATTTCATCAATTATTTTATTTTCGAATATACCAGTGATGCAGAAATAGATGTTGTATAATATTTTGGTGATTATCATTATCGCTTATCACTTTGAACAATTGTTATCAGTAAGAAATGAATGATTATATTGATAAGAACACGAACATATATTATTACTTCATAAACAAATATGAAATTACAATTAAAAATTTATTGCTTTATTATTCATTCAATGCTAATCTTTGTTAATAACATTAGTTTTACTTTAATCTCAAAATTGTCACATTTTAATATATTCACAAATTTGTTATTATAATCTTTAATATTAACTATGAACAGATTTAGTTAATTTATCATTTATAAAATTTTATTAAAATTTTTTTAAACAATTTTTATTGATTCAAACATTATTGCATCTCTAAGTATGCTTTGATTATTAGAAAGCACGAAAAAAGCAATACAAACCTTAAATAGTTTTGAATAAATTATTTAATATAATTTAAAAAATAAAAATAAAAAAAATATAATTTAAAAATTATTTACTCCAAACTTTTCGCGTATTTACTAGTAAAATTAAAATTTAAATTAGAAAATGTATGAAAACTTAGCACTAAATTCAAAAACCACAAAACTGATAGTTCTATAAGTTTGGAATTTTACATTCTTTTAATTTTAAAACCAAAATAGATAAAGAATTGTTTTTTTTTTTATTTTATTAAATTACCATTTTATTTTCGAGATTATTTATCAATTGTTTAAGCAAAATTATTTATCAATTCTTTAAGTTAGGTGAAGCTGAGCTAATATTTATTTTAAGTTTATATTTATTTTCTTATCATTCAAGAATAATAAATTTAAAACACAATTCTTTATTGATTGTTTTTTATCAAAAAAAAAGCTTAAAAGAAATTGAATAACTTTGATACAATTATTAGATTATCATTATTTGAAGATTACAAAATGTAAATAATCTATTTCAATGCTTCAAATATCAAATTAGCTATTCGTATTTCCGGATCATTAAATCCTGTTTACGTTTACTTTTTCAAAAATTGCTATTGAACTAATCCGATTAATCCATTTTCATCTGTCCTTCTACTATTATTTAACTCGAAAACAAAAATTAAATAAACTATTTTACAGATAGACTAATTCACAGGTAAAGGTTATTTCATATATCATTATTTAAAGATTAAAAAAAAAAAATGATAATAATAATAATCTCTTCCAGTACTTCAAATATCAAATTAGCTGCTCATATTTCATATCATTAAGGTTTTTTTTTTTTTGTATTGGAATTGAAATTTATTCAAATTTTAAGTTTACTACAAATAATCATTTTGCACCAACTTTTCAATCAGTTTTTTTTAAATTAATTTTTAAGTTTATAAAATAATTAAATTCATTTTCTTTTACTGCTAATAATCATTTTGCACCAACTTTTCAATCAGTTTTTTTTAAATTAATTTTTAAGTTTATAAAATAATTAAATTCATTTTCTTTTACTGCTAATAATCATTTTGCACCAACTTTTCAATCAGTTTTTTTAAATTAATTTTTAACTTTATAAAATAACTAAATTCATTTTCTTTTACTGCTAATAATCATTTTGCACCAACTTTTCAGTCAGTTTTTTTTAAATTAATTTTTAAGTTTATAAAATAATTAAATTCATTTTCTTGAATTGTCTTTTTTTGCTTTTATTTTTTAATTTTTTTTTTTTCAATTTTATCATTTTTCTTTGTTCGAATTCAGCTGGTAAACGCTGCATGGCTAAATCGCAAATTTTAATTATTAATATTTAAATAATCTATTTATTGAATAAAGTAATTTAACAAATGTTAAATTTCAAAAAAAATTTTTTTTCTTTTTCTTTATTAGATTTATTGAAATAATAAAATCAAAAGAATTTCTGCCGAATTATTTGATAATTAAATATAAAATGATTTATTTTTCAGTTAGATTTAACATTTTATCTTATCAAATCACTTAATTTTTTTGAAAATTTCATTGATATTTTACATTATGAAAAAATTTCGACTAAATATTGTCATAAAGAATTGAAATAAAACGTATAAACAATGAAATGAAAGTAAAATATTGACGGAAAATTTATTTAACTCTTAAAAAATTTATAATAATAAATAAATTATTCATTTTAAGTTTAGCAAGGAATTATGGCAAAGAATTCAATTTCTCTTTTATCAATAATTATGCTACTAATTGCTGCTGGATTTCAAAGTACCACAGCTCATTATGGTCGTAAAGTAATCTTTTCTCTGTTATTTTAATTAAATTTTAAATTAGCAAATTGTTGATGCAAGTTTTCCGGTTATATAAAAATTCCGGTTTAGATGCTGTATTCGACATCTTTTTTGATAAACCTGAAAAAAATTGCTTTAAGACATATTTTTTTATTCTCGTTTTTTTTTTTTAATGTTTAACTAAATGTATTTTTCAGATTTCAAATATGGAAAAATTAAATTCTACGGCATCAAATTTACTTGATTCGTTTCCGTTATCATCAAATCAATCAATTTCAAATTCATCAGATCCATTTGCATTACCATTTTCCGAATTAAATTCAAGCATAAATACGGAACTCTTTCAAGAATTATCAAAAATGAATTTTACTATTACAACAATACCATCTTTTTAATTAATTTCATTTCTATTTACATTTAAATAAATTAACACATCAATTATGTTTAACCGGAAAATAATGAATAAATATTCATTGGTAAATTAGTAAAACATCAATTAAATGAGTAAGTAACATTTTAGAATCTTTCAAAAAAAACAAAAAATTTTTTTTTGTATAATTTTATTTATTTAATACTGAAATATGGACATTATAATTATATTAATTTAAAAGAGTAATTAAATTACAGATGGAAAAAAATATAATTTAAACTTCTAAAATTAAATTACAAATTTATCACAAATATTAAATCAGTATATTTTCATATATGTAATAGTGGAGAAATTTTTGCGCAACAGCATCAAAAAAAAAATTTAAATAGAAATAATGGTGCGCAAATGTCCGCGCACCATATTTGCGCGAAAAATTTTAATTTGATCTATATGAAAAATTTTAATTTGATCTATATCATAATAAATTAATTTCTTATTATGATCTTGAATTGTTCTCGATTTTTTTCTTTTTCAACCTGAATTGTATTTGTATTCATTTCAACAATGTTTCATATAACAAATTATTTTATCAATTGATAAAACTTTTCGTATGATATGCCTAACATTTGATCCATATCAAATTTTACTTCTTCGAGAATGAAAAATTGGAAAAAAATTTGAAAGAAAAATATAAAATATTTGTAAAAATATGATGCTAGAAGAGAAAAATTAGTTTTTATTCGAGAATGAAAAATTGGAAAAAAAATTTGAAAGAAAAATATAAAATATTTGTAAAAATATGATGCTAGAAGAGAAAAATTAGTTTTTATTCGAGAATGGAAAACTTTTTTTTGTTTCAAAAAAAATTTTTTTTTGAAATAATCAAAATCAAAAATATTTTCCTATTCTTATCACTAAATAAGCTAACAAAATATTTAACACATGAAAACAGATAAAATATTGGTTATTTGTAGAAAAAATTTCGAGAATAATTTATTTGTCGTTTTTTAAAATTAATTTTTTTCCAAATTGAGATATTTAGTACTCGTTTTATATTATCACTAAAGTAAACGTATCACTCGTGAAGACGTGAAGACGTGAAAACGTGAGAAAATTGCTGTTGAAGTAAATGAGAAATATTTGATGATAAATGATAAAGTAATGATGAAAATTTTAAATGAAACAGCAATTTATGTTATTATTATTGCAAAATTGAAAAATATTTAATAACAATTTATATTAAAAATAATTTTAGAAGCGAATGAAAAGTTAAAATTTGTTAAAGTTAAAAGTTAAAATTAAATTTTAACTGTCACAGTTACAACTTTCAAAAAATGAGAAAAAAAATAATAATAAATAAAAATTATTCAAAATTAGATCATATGGAAAAAAAAACATTAAACAAATTCTATTGTATTTTTTATTTTAATTTTTGAGTCATATAAATACTGAAAATTTTATTTTCTTATTTGAATATAATTTAATAAAAATGAACTGAAATTAATAATTGAATTACGTAATGAAAAAGAAACAGAATTTTCATTATTATTATTTATTTTTTCGATTCTTTTATACAAATTGGGAATGCATCTTTTGATGTTACAATTTTTAAAAGGTAATAATAAATAATAAAAGAATAAAAATGTTTTGTTCCGCAAAAAAAAAAAAGAGAAAGCTATATACTTAAGTGAAAAGACGGACGTGAAAAAATTTGACCAAAAGTTAAGAAATAAATAAATTTGCAAATGAAACATTCCATCCTTTATTATCGTTTATATTACCACGTCCAATTTTATTCACGTCACGTTGCCTTTATATTACTACGTCGAATTTTATTCACGTCACGTTGCCTTTATATTACTACGTCAATTTTATTCACGTCACGTTGTCTTTATATTACTAGTCGAATTTTATTCACGTCACGTTGTCTTTATATTACTAGTCGAATTTTATTCACGTCACGTTGTCTTTATATTACTACGTCCAATTTTATTCACGTCACGTTGTCTTTATATTACTACGTCTGATTTTATTCATGTCACGTTGCCTTTATATTACTACGGCCAATTTTATTCACGTCACGTTGTCTTTATATTACTACGTCGAATTTTATTCACGTCACGTTGTCGTTTATATTACTGAGTTTAATTTTATTTACGTCACATTATTGGTTATATTACTGCATTCAACTTTATTCACGTCACGTTATCGTTTATATTACTATGTTTAGTTCTAATTCACGTTACGTTACTGCATACGCTTAATTAACGCATCCCTTTAAAAGAATATTATTCAATTTTCTCCTCTATGATAGACGCAAATTTTGCGCAATCCTTTTTTAACGTCTGCTGTGAGCCGCATCATTGAAGAGTTTTCATTTTGCACGTAGGATTGCTCCGGAATGGTCGTAGCTAAAATTGTGTAAATTTTAGGTCAGATTGTAGATCATCCGTTCACCGTATGTCCGCGGTGTTTTCTCTTTGACACTTCTATCCGCGGTGGTTTTTCTCCGTCAATCTTATCCGCAGTGTTTTCTCTCCGCCAATCCTATTCTCGGTGTTTTTCTCCGCCAATTCTATTCTCGGTGTTTTTTCTCCGTCAATCCTATTCTCGGTGTTTTTAATTCCCTCGTGTTTTTCTAATTCCATTCTCGGTGTTTTTCTCCTCCGCACCAATTCTCGGTGTTTTTCTCCGCCAATCCTAAATTCTCGGTGTTTTTCTCAATCCTATTTAACGTCTATTCCTCGCGGTGTTTTTCTCCGCCAATCCTATTCTCGGTGTTTTTCTCCGAATTCTCGTAATTTTCTCGGTGTTTTTGTCCGCCATCATCCGTTCACCGTATATCCTCGGTGTTTTCTCTCCACCAGTTCTATTCTCGGTGTTTTTTCTCCGCCAATCCTATTCTCGGTGTTTTTTCTCCGCCAATTCCATTCTCGGTGTTTTTTCTCCGCCAATCCTATTCTCGGTGTTTTCTCTCCGCCAATCCTATTCTCGGTGTTTTTTCTCCGCCAATCCTATTCTCGGTGTTTTTTCTCCGCCAATCCTATTCTCGGTGTTTTTTCTCCGCCAATCCTATTCTCGGTGTTTTTTCTCCGCCAATTCCATTCTCGGTGTTTTTTCTCCTCCAATCCTATTCTCGGTGTTTTCTCTCCACCAGTTCTATTCTCGGTGTTTTTTCTCCGCCAATCCTATTCTCGGTGTTTTTTCTCCGCCAATCCTATTCTCGGTGTTTTTTCTCCGCCAATCCTATTCTCGGTGTTTTTTCTCCGCCAATCCTATTCTCGGTGTTTTTTCTCCGCCAATCCTATTCTCGGTGTTTTCTGTCCGATACCCCTATCCACGGTGTTTTTCTCGTCAGTGTGTTTTTCTCCAATTCTAATTTTCTCTCCACCTTCTATTCTCGGTGTTTTTTCTCCGCTAATCTATTCTCGGTGTTTTCTCTCCACCAATTCTATTCTCGGTGTTTTTTCTCCGCTAACTCTGTTCTTGGTGTTTTCTCTCCGTCAATTCTATCCACGATGTTTTCTCTCCGATACTCTTATCCGCGGTGTTTTTTCTCCGTCAATGTTATCCAGCGTTTTCTGTCCGCCTATCCTATCCGTGGTGTTTTCTCTCCATCAGTCCTACCCGCGGTGTTTTCTTCCCGGCAATCCTATCAGTACTTAGCATTGATTCATTTGTATTACTGCATGTTTTACTTTATTTGATTTTCATTATTTTATGCGAAAACTTTTATGACACACTTCTTACAGTAGAAATTGACTGCTCTCTTTGTTCTCAAATATATATTCTACACATCACCTATGATCTCACCTATGATATGTGTATCTTTTGCAATTTTTCAAAACTAATAAATGAAACTAGCTAGTTTAGCTATATCATTTTTTTTTCGTACAGAATTATAATTAGTTAATTATAGTTATAATTAGACAACTATGGTAGGCACATAAATTATCGTCGAAAGTTGACAAGCCAGATACGTCGATTAGCCATAGGTATTGAGAGTTACTAATTAACTGATTAATAATCCGATTTGTTTTAATCTAAAATGCACTCATCCAGAATTCAAAGCTAATAATTGAAGCATTTATTAACTTTAGAATTGCCACAAATTATCAATCACATGCGAATACATTGAACCATTCATCATTATAGATTTATTTGAATTTAGTGATTGGTGATAGCTTTATTTTATTTTTTTTTTTTTTAATTTTCTAGCCATGATCTATAAATATCATTTTTGGTTTTATACTTGTGGTTCACGTATGAGTTAATCTTTCACTCTATGATTTGTGGAGTAAATAAACATTACATTGCAGATGGTTATGAAGAGTGTATCCTCGCCAGTTGTTGCAAAAAAAGACAAAAGTGATAATTTTATGTTTGCGCCTTTTCAAATTACGTCAGGGCGAGAGTTTGCTGCACGTGTAACCGAGAAATTATCTGATAATATCTACCTGATGAGAGATACGGAACAATTGGCTATTTTATACCAGGTTAATTTCTTTTCTTTTAATTGCTGGAAAGTTTGGAAATTTTTTTGGGTAAAATAATTGTGATACGTTTATACCAGATTTTGAAAAGAATTTATAGCATAATGTAAAACAAAAACTAGCTGGTCTGTTGAGATATATAAAAATATATATATATGGAAACAAATTCTTTTCAGGGAAGGATTTCTAGTCTGTATAATAGTTTTTTTTTTTTTTTTTTGCCTATTTCCAAATTTCTGACAAAATTATAAACCAATCTTAGTTGTCTGTTGCAGTATGTGGTACGTCCAATAAAACGTTTATCGCCGTCAATGTATCTTTGTGGTTATCCTGAAGTAGCGTGCATTGCTCGCGTTGCACGACCATGTAATTTACCTAGAGTGAGTCGCTCTCGGCTTTACAGGTTAATGATTTCTTTTTGCATCTTTGAAATCAGTAGCTAAATTTGCACAGGATATTTTGAGAAAGCTAAGATTAAATATGACAAAACATTAGAAGCTTCTAGGCTTGTCAGCAAGGAATTACTACTATTATTACTGCTAAAACTATCAAAAGAATTGAAATAGTTGTGATCCAAGGAGTGATTACAATAACCGGAATTTATAAATGGAATTCTACGTTACTGCTGCGCACTTTTTCTTAAGCATATCCATAACTCAAGTTTTGATAACTCAAAATCTTATGGAAAATTGGGAATATTACCAGATTTAATTAAATATAGAGTTCTATTATCACTGTTTGCAAAAATTGACATTCTGCCAGGCTATTCTTGATGATCATTAAATTGCTAAGTTATTGTAAAACAAGGTCGCATTTAGTTTTTTTTTTTCTTGAAATGATCTGTTCTCAAACATTTCAATATATTGAACTCTTATTAACTCTGCTAGTTTCTTTACTCTCATTTCAAAATGGTGATCCTTGTGTACTACTGTTATTTTTATTTCATTTTTTGTTGTATTAATTTAAAAAAGGTTTATAGATCAGTAAACATTTTTTCAGAGCATTGGCTAGTCAATTCAATACGGAAGATGGGACATGTTCAGCTTTCCTTGTTGATTATGGACAACACGTTGTTTGCGATTCCTTTGCAATATACGATCTTTGTGGACAAGTTAGTACTTTTGGTAGAATAGAATAATATTCTAATATATTTTTTATTCATAGTATAGTTGTTGTCTCACTCAGATTTCTTGCAAAACTAAATTATAGAAGGAAAACGTAGATCGTCTATTCTTCAAGCGAATGAGTATTATACCATCAATATGCTTCATATCTTTTTTAGTCCCCGACAAGACTTATTTTTCAGCCATCAGATGTACTGAAAATACCAATAGCAGCATTCAAATTTGGGATCATAAAAGAAGAAAGTCAAAGTTTGCAAAATGTCAGTTTCTTTTTTTAGAGTTATATTAACTGATAAGTTTCATTATTGTTTATCATTGGAATTTTTGGCATAATTTAAGCTGGAAGTTGATAAGGAATACGTTGTATGCATAACAACATTTGCTGATGATGGCATTTATTGGGGGAAAGTTGTGCAAGGAACACAACCTTCGGTAACACAAAAAACTCATACTGCTACAAATATGGATGATATCTATTGTGATGAGATTGACGACGATATGACTATACCGTCGATTGAACAATCGATCAAAATTTCAGAAGAAAAATTGCGCGAAAAAAACGAGCGACTACAAATTGAAAGAGAATTGCTTGAGATGAGAAAGTATTTCTTTTCAATTTTTTAATTTTTATTCTTAATTTTGAAATTATCATTGCTTCACTCTGTTAGCCACCACATGCTTTCACTGTTTCATAGTTGTATTTTGCTACAGGCGTTCAAGACTTTATAACTAGATAAGCTTGTTTCTATCAGTACGTCATGCACTCATTAGAATTAGATCATTACTGGAAATAACAAGTTATTAGTGCTAATTGATCCGTTCATCTTGCTTATTCTTTCTAACAGTCAGTCATTAATGATTGAACAAATAGTATACGTTCCATCTTATATGATAAATACCAAAATATACATGGCTGCTGTTTATACCTATGATTATCAGTTATTGACATCTAGGTATTTCGCTAAGATATCAAGTAATGTTGATGAACGAAACATTTTTAGATCAAAATTTGAGCAAGATTGGACATTACAAACTCTGCAGTTGCAATTTGCTACCGTTTTGAAAAGATTGAACACAATATCGATGCCTTTTGCTCCTGCCTCAGCTGTAAGTTACCACTTTTTGTAATTTGTCTCCTTTATATACTGATATTCTTTCGAAGAAACAGTTGTTTCCGGCATGTTATTTTATCAGCATCTACTCTAAATTTTGCTCAACACTTACCTTTTATGTCCCTATTATTTTTCATTAACATTTAAAAAAGCAGTGACTATCAAGAAATTTTTGTTGTGTCTTTTTTTTTTTTTGTTTCTGTAAAGCTTGATTTGTTTTTTCTTCCAAGTATTCCTGGTATTCTAATATTTCCGAAATCTATCGTTTTAAAAAAAAAAAAAAACTGTACTTTTTATTCCAGAATACCTGCAATTCATTTCCGAATCTCACATCTTTACCAGTACAAACTGAAAATGGCTTAAATCCTAATACGAGTAATTGGAATCCTTACTCTTCATTCCCTGTATCTCAGGACTGGGCACAGGCTGGAACAATAAATCCGTCACTATGTGCTACTTTACCGAACAATTTATCGTTTAATCCAGTGGCAGTTCAACAACTTCCTCCAGTGTTAGCTTATTTTATGAACCTTTATGAGCAGAATTTTTCTTTTTTTTTTTATTAAGAAATGATATAACCAAGCCTTATCTGGCATTTAACACTAGTAATTTTAGCTAAATCATAGATAGACAATATATTATAAGATCAATTAATGATACGGATAAGTCTGGATTTTCTATGGATTTTGGAAATTTGCTTGGGTTAGAATAGGAAATTTAGGAAAATATTAGTCAATCAACCAACAAAGAAGCGCAACTTGTATTTTTTTTTTTTTTTTTGTTTTTTCAGATATCCAAATCAACATGAAAGGAATATGCATACTCGTGCTACAACTCAAATAATGAATCCCTGTTCAGTGTATTCTAATGCTGGCGATTTTTTTGAAACATTTAATGATTCAGTACCACTGAATACTCGAGAAAGCACACAACCATCATCGCCTACCTCAACTTTGGCTTCGGTTCTGAGTTGTTTTATTTTTCCTCTTTTCCTTTTTCCTAATCAACTTTTTCTTTTGTCCACATTGAGATCTACTTTTTATTTTTCCCATTTTAGCAGAATGCAGGAATTTGCCATTTTCGACCTAGCGATAGCGAAATATCAGCAATGGTTAATGGGGATTTAAACAATAACTTTCAGCAACAAGGTATATTTGTATTGCTTTAACTAGTAATATTGAGTCGAAGATAGATTAAATCTTTTTTTAAATCGAAATGAACCATTTGAAATAGCAGAAGAATTAAAATGAAACATTTGTCGCGAATTATAATTTCGCGAAAGCTTCTATCTAAAATTAATAAAAACTACTTAATCATTCTTTAATTGTAAACAATTCCATAATATCATAAATTATCTCTCCATAAATCTAGTTTCTTAAAATTCTTCACATGTGTGATTTTCATCTTAGATACGTTCAATTCTCACATTGTAAATTCTCAATTTTTTTTTTAGACAACATTTGTTTTGTTGCGGTTTCATTTGTTATCATTTTGTTTGTTGAAATTTAATGATTGAATCAGCTACTCTTGTTTTTGCTCTCTGACATTTTTTACCTTTTTTCTTTCTATTCTCATCCACAATCAATCTAATTTTGATGTTGTTTCTATCGATGATTAAAAAAAAATATTAGTTCAGCCAGCTGTCACTTTTATTTAGAAAAGAGAAAAACACTACCTGTAGAATTGCATCATCATCAGAGCTATTTAGTTACACTGTAATGTTATGCAGAGTATAAGCCGAAGCCAAAGCAGACTTTGTCACGCAAAACACAGTATGGTCAACCACCGACTTATGTTCTGAACGAGTACTACAGTATGACTGGCTTGAAAACATCAACTGGTATACAACAGCAGACATCAACAAAACAACAACATAAGTTTACAAATGGTTTCTTCATTGGTTTTTTCACGTTAACAAGAGATGCATTTTTTTTTTTTTATAAAATTATCAAGCATTTGAACCGTAGGAAAGGATATCTGTTGAAGAATTGAAAACTTTATATGGTATAAATAATGTCTATCACATGCATTTATTACTGTTTGTACAGAATGATTCATTTAAAAAATGCTGGAGGTTTATTTCACATTATATTAGGCAGTGTTTTAAAGCAATTTTTAGGATCTAAAAAAAAATTTCTGTATGACATCAATTCAACATATTTTATCAAATAGTAAATGAATTAGAAAATCAATTATGGCAGAAGAATCAATCAAATATTCCGTAATATTGATTGAACATTCCCTTATCTCTTAAATCATGCAATTTTTGAAACAAATAAAAGGAAGAAACTGTATGAATTATTTCGTTCACTTTTCTTTTTTAGATTTAGCGGGCAGAGGATACGCTATCCAACATGTTGAACAAAAATCAGAAAAGGGTGATCGATTAAATTCTAATGGCGCTAGATATTTTTCACCAGAACCTATTTCACTTTATGATATGCAAGAGGTCTTATTCAAAATTTTTATTTAGAATAAACTCTGGTCCTAAACTGTATATGAAAGATTTAATCATAAATCAAGTATCTGATCGAATCTGATCGTTTCTCAGTATTTTTTGTTATAACTCTTTATAGAAAAAGTTTGAAATTGAAATATTTTTACTTTGAATTTAATTCTGTGGTAGAAAAATTACAAAGAGTTGTAAGTATTATTTTGAGATGTTCTTGAATGTTTAATTGATATAGAAAAGTTGTAGTTTTTTTACAGAAAGCATTATACATACATCGTTCACGTGATAGAAATGGTTATCTGATGCAAGAAACAGAACGACAGTATGCACCAGCAATCTCGCATTGCGTACCAGTAATATCGCAATGCGCACCAATGATATCGCAGTGTGCACCAACAGTATCGCAGTGTGCACCAATAATGTCGCAGTGTGCACCAATAATGTCACAGTATGCACCAACAGTATTGCAGTGTGCACCAACAGTATCGCAATGCGCACCAATAATGTCGCAGTGTGCACCAATAATGTCGCAGTGTACACCAATAATATCGCAGTGTACACCAACAGTATCGCAGGGTGCACCAATACTGTCGCAGTATGCACCAGCAGCATCGCAGTGTGCACCAATAATATCGCAGTGTGCACCAACAGTATCGCAGTGTGCACCAATACTGTCGCAGTATGCACCAGCAGCATCGCAGTGCGCACCAATAATGTCGCAGTGTGCACCAACAGTATCGCAGTGTGCACCAATACTGTCGCAGTATGCACCAGCAGCATCGCAGTGCGCACCAATAATGTCGCAGTGTGCACCAACAGTATCGCAGTGTGCACCAGCAGCATCGCAGTGCGCACCAATAATGTCGCAGTGTGCACCAACAGTATCGCAGTGTGCACCAATACTGTCGCAGTATGCACCAGCAGCATCGCAGTGCGCACCAATAATGTCGCAGTGTGCACCAACAGTATCGCAGTGTGCACCAATACTGTCGCAGTATGCACCAGCAGCATCGCAGTGCGCACCAATAATGTCGCAGTGTGCACCAATAGTATCGCAGTGTGCACCAATACTGTCGCAGTATGTACCGGCAGCATCGCAGTGCGCACCAATAATATCGCAGTGTGCACCAACAGTATCGCAGTGCGCACCAGCAATCTCGAATTTTAGAAATGCTACAATATGTGGTGCTTTAGATGAGGTAAGAAGTGAGATGAGTCTTACTAGTCCTAATTAAGCTCATTAATTAGGATATATTGTTAGATCTTCGTGCATTTGCGTTATTAATACACGGTTGCATGTTGACCATAGTTATCTCTTTTAAATTCTTTTTAAATCATCTTTTTACATTTCCAATCTTTTTTCTCTAAATTATAAAATAGTATCTTTGGTTATTCTGAGATAAGATATTTCAGCAAAAAGTAGAATGCTTATAAATGGAATGTGACAACATTTTGATGCAATGAATTGATAAAATAGCTTAGCAGTTGATATTTTTGAGAGTTTTTTAGGAAATTGTTGCAAAGTATAGCAAACACAAATTATCTGCCATTACCAGATTACTGGTTTTTTTTTTTAGTTTTTCTAGCATGCGCTAACTGTTATGCTATTTAGTTGCAATGAAAATGTTGATTTCAGGATGAAGATAATCAAAACGTGGCCAACCTTAAGGCGGGTGATTTGTCAGCGTTTAAATTCAATGACCACTATTTGATTAAATCCCTAAAATATGAGGTGAGTTTTCTACTAAGTAATATTTTTATGAATCTTTTTCCCATTATTTTATTTTATTTTTTGACTTCGTTTCTGATGATAAAGATGATAGGATGGAAATGTCACAGCATTAGCTATAATCATAAATTCATTAGCTATAACAATTATATTAATGGTTATCATTTAAAGCTTTCTTTTTACCTACATTATTGTTATTATTAAAATTCTTGTTATTAATACTATTTATTAATATAAAGTGATACTATAATTATTGTAATATAGTCAGATATCGAGATTTGAAGTTGTAGAGCTCGAATTCATATAGACTTATTATTATTCCATATAGACTTGTTATTACAAATCGTTTGCTTTACCATCAGGGTTTTTCTAGCTAGAATTTCGGCTCGCACTCTGTTTGATATCATAGCTTCATAGAATTAAATGAAAAAAAAAAATAAATATAAAATGAATTGTGTTGCCAGAAGACTACTAAGGGGTAGGAAAAGAAGTGAGATTCAATTACTTGATGGCCATCAAAATGTCTTTGGTCATTTCGAAGTTGTATAGTCTGGTAAGTAAGATCAGAAAAAAAAATCTTTATAAACTAATCTCATTGATTTCTCTGTTTTACTGTTGTTAAAGTGTATAGCTAATAGAATAGGCATGATAATGATGCTTTTGGTAAATTACTCTATTATTTACAGTCCTATGTGCCATATATAGAAGTGGTAGAACAGGCAGTATATACTGTAAAAAGAAGTGATGATGATTGGTCAAATCAAAATTGGCCACTATTCTTTGTGCAAATTCAGGAAGATAAGCTATTGGATATTATTGATCAGTATTTGGATTGTTTGACAGCTGTTGAACCATTACCAAGAAACGATATCGTTCGTTATCTTTTAAATATTTTTTTTTTTTAAAAAACTTTTTATAAATTATTACAAAAGGCACTTTTATAAATTATTATAAATTACAACGTATTAACGATATCCACTACTGTATTGCTGACAATGTGATTTAGTTTGGAAACTTTATCTTTTTTTTTTTCAGTGAAGATCTATTTCTAGATTGATGATAGATATATAGATGACATAGTAGACATAATGAATACGATCTATAAATGATAAAACTTTGTAATACTTTTGTTTTATTATTCATTTTAAACAAAATGTTTATGTGTTTCCGTTTGTCTGTCAAATTTTAATTATTTCAGAAACTTGGAACTCTTTGCGTTTCATATTGTCGTGCATTTCAAGCAATGTTTCGTGCAGTGATTACAGCAATATACGATACGAATGTAGAAGTGCATTATATTGATTATGGTAATTATGAGAGGGTTACTTATAATGATCTTCATTCAATCGATGATTTGGTATCTATCACTATAATATTTGTAAAATAAATGCATTAGAATATTTAGTAATATTATTTTGCATTTTAGCATTTTTTCTTTTTCCCATATTCACTATTTTCATCCACAAAATAAATAATTTTTTAATAAAAAAAAAATAAAATAAATAAAATAAAACTAATGCGATTTGAACAATTTTATTCTGTTACATAAATTAATGTTACATATTTTCATGGTTTTTTTTTTTTAGTCAGGAAATCATTTTGAAATTTCAGCCTGAAATAACAAAAAAGCATCCTGCTATGGGAATTCCATGCTTACTGGTAAATATGGATGATATCAATACAGGCTTGAATATTTACACGGATAATAACCTATTACATTTTATGAATGCTGTTTCATGTGAAAAACCGTTTTTCAAATTGAAATTTCTTCGTAAACGAACTGATAATGTGATGGTTGTCGAGTTGGTAGATGATAATGGTAACTTGTAAGAAATTGCTATTACTTATTTGAATTTTTTTAAATCAATCAATTTTTTTGTGTTGGAAATTGTAAAAAGCAATATTTTATTATGATGAGAAGAAGAATTTTTGTTATTTTTCTCTTCCATACATCAGGCAATGGTGAGAAGGGAGGGAAAGAAGTACATTAATTCTTAGCTATTGATATGATTTTTATGGATTCTAAAAATTGGTGACTTTGTCTGGAATGCATACAGTGTGTATACTCTAGTCCAGTCCAGTTCCAAATTGATACCCTAGAGAGCAAATAGTTCTTTTGAGATAATTTCATGATGCTAAAATGAACGAGAAGTGGATGATAATAAATAGTGAAAGTGTTTTATGTTTGACTTTATTTGGCTAGAATTATGCTCTTTTTTTTTTTTTTTTTGATTTAAATGATGCTTTCGAGAAAATGTTTTCATTAATTTGATTATTGCTTCCTAGTGTATTCCTAGTATTATTGTATCACTTTTAAAAGATATTTGAGAGTTTAAACTTTATGCTGATAAAATCTCTCTTTTTTAGTGCTACATTTTTCTCATTAATTTCTAGCATTTATATAGACTTACACACACATTTAACATTTCGTTATTATTTTATTTTATTTTTTATTTTTTTTCTTATCTTTTTTTCTTATTTTTGTTCATTTCAATGTTTGTTTCCTCACTTTTTAAATATTTAATTATGCAAAAAAATGAAGGTATTTGATTATAAAATATTTTCTTTCTTCTCATTCCATTAGGAAGAATGAGTGAATTATGCTTATTATAGCTTTATAACTAATGTTTTTTTCATTTGCTCATTCTTTCATTCATTTTGATAATGTTAGTAAGAAATAGAGAGAGAGAGAGAGAGAGAGAGAAAGAGAGAGAGAGAGACTTTTCAGCTGATACAATTAGATGAAGATAATGAAAAGAGTAATATATTTCATATTTTTCTAGTAAAATTGTTGATTTGTTTAATTTTTTGGTTATATAAAAATGAAATGAATTAATTTTAGATTTTTCTTTTTTTTTTTTTTTTTTTTTATAAGGAGTTTGATAAGAGCAAAAAAATTTTTTTATGATATATATGATTGGAAAATTTTTTTTTTTTTTTTTGTCTTTGCATATTTATTTTTTCATTATTTTTCTTTTGAAATGATAGCAGAAGAAAATTTGATTGTTCAATTTAGCTAAAATATGAATGATCTAAATGCAGCAAAATAGCAACAATGGCATTTTAGTTTGAGTATTATCTTGGTTAAAGTTATTCATCAATTGTCAAATTTAAAAGCAGTGGAAAGAGGAAGGAACTTTAAATTAAGTGGAATATTCAAAGTGTAGAGAGAGAGAGATGATATATTGTAACTTTTAAAATTTAACTTTCCATTCTACATTTATGCTGTACACAATTTAGTATTATAAATTCAGTATGATACTATTGTTTGAATTAGAGTTAAAGATGCAGAATTAATTATTCCTTTAAAATTGATTGATGTTAATTTGCATTTTTAGAGAATTCACCTGTTATAATTCACTAAAATGATAAACTTTTTGGTATTATTATTATTATTATTATTATTATTATTATTATTCAAAAATATCTTTTAAAATTAATAGTTAACTGATAAATTTTCATATAAAAATTTGAAGGAAGCATTTTTTTTTTTTTTCTATTCATTTTCATTTGTTTATTAATGTTCCAAATCTTCCAAATCTTGTTATTATTTTAATTTTCTAGTACTTAAAAGGATGGATGACACATAGCTATTTTTTTTTACATTTATTTTATAATTTCAAACATTCATTTGCTGCAGTAATAAAAAGTATTTCTTCATTATATGTTTTTTTTTTTTGTTGTTGTTGTTGTTGTTGCATACAGAATCGAATTAATACTTAAAATAGCTTAGCATACGTTAAATTGTGTAATTAAACTAGAATTGATGTAATTCGTATCTGAGTAAATTGATTATCTTAAATTATAATCGATTATTTACTAACATAATTAGTCTCTTTACTAATAACACTCATTAATCAATTTGATATCATTAAGTTTTTATCGATTTCAATAACAACTGTTAAAATTGATAATTGTTAAAATGAAAAAAAAGAATATTCTGAAAGTTTGAAATTCATAGCAAAAAAAAAAAAAAAACCTGAATTAATTAAATCATTAAAACCTAACAATCAGCTACTAGACGATTAAATGAATCAATTTTAGAATTAATAATCATCTACTACGATGCAATTAAATTAAATTTTATAGCTAAAAAATTTTCAAACTTTTTTCCAGAGCTATCTAGTAATTGAAAAATGAAATTTAAGATTATTCTTTTAGATTAGAGATGAAATTTAGAATGATAAAGTTTTCTTTTTTTTTTTTTTTTTACGAACTTAATGGAAATATTATCGAAATTATGTGCACAATAGATAAAAAGTAATAAATAATTTCTAAAATGTCGATAAAATAAATTATAATGATATTATTGGAATGAAAATTGATTGTATAATGAAGCAGGCAAATTGTTAATTTCTAATTATTAAATTTTATATAATATGCAAGAATGAAATTGATAATTTATTATTATGAGACTAAAATATAACTGATAAGTTATTAATGCAAAATGAATAGAAAAATTAATAGTTAATTGTTGATATAAAATGAAATTATCAAAGATTAGTAATGATAATAATAATAATAATAATGAAATAATAAATTAATATAAAGCAAAAAATTAATTCTATTCCATTTTTATTTTTACTTTTTTTTTTAATAAAATTCAATTATTATCATATTTAGAGAATGTATTTTTAAATAAATACATTATTGTAATATTTTTCTTCAGTTAATTTAGTAAATTAATTTCCTGAAATGTATGCAAATTTCTTCTTCTAATTTCTAACTTTTTTTATTTATGATTCTTCCTATTTAAATTTTTGTTTTAAAAAAAAAGAGGAAAAAAAAAATTTCAATACAAAAGTTTTATTTTCTTATCATTTGTGTTGCATGGTAATGTTTATTTATTTATTTATTTATTTGCATATAAGATTAATTATAACAATGAGAATTTTTAATTTACTTTAATGATCAATGAAAAATTAGTTTGTATTTAATAAATTTTAATAATCAATGACAAATTAGTTTGTATTTAATAAATTTTAATAATCAATGAAAAATTAGTTTGTATATAATAAATTTTAATAATCAATGAAAAATTAGTTTGTATTTAATAAATTTTAATAATCAATGACGAATTAGTTTGTATTTATTTTTTATATTCAAAATTTAGCTATTTAAATTGCATTTTTAATATGGAAGCTAACAATTGATCATTTTTAAATTATCAATTAGATGTGTCTGATAAGTTAACAATCAAAATAATTATAATTAATTTGCATTTGCAAATCACTATAAATCATTATTATCAATCAATATAAATATGCAAAATAGAAATTTGTTATTGTTTTTTTTTTTCTAAATATTAAATTGAATGTTATGTATTGCTTTTGTTATAAGTTATCGATTAAATTAATTGAAATTAGCAATTATTTAATTAAATTGTTAAACAACTAAACACTTCAAAATGAAAATTAATTGTTTAAAAACATTTATTTTTTTTATTTTTTTTTTTTTAAAAATTGATGATAAAATGAAATATTTTTGCTTAAAAGATGCAAGAATTGTACAAATATAATATATTAAAAAAAAATTTTGAAAAATTGTTTTTTCTATTAGCAATATTTTCTGATGCAAAATTAATTAATATATTTATTAAAGATTTTATATTTATTGTACAGAAATAATTTTACATTTATTAAATATAATAATAATAACTTTTCTCTCTTTTTCCTTTGTTGTTCATTTAATATATTATAAATAATTTTGTATTTATTATACAAAAATAATTTTTATTTATTATACAAAAATAATTTTATATTTATTATCCAATAAAAATTTTATATTTATTATACATAAATAATTTTAAATTAACTAAATATAATAACAATAATAATAATAGCTTTTCTCTCTTTTCCTTTTTCATTTTTTCATTTAATAAATTATAAATAATTTTATATTTATTATACAAAAATAATTTTATATTTATTATACATAAATAATTTTAAATTTATTAAATATAATAAAAATAATAACTTTTCTCTCTTTTCATTTTTCATTTAAATTGATGACAATATAAAAGATTAGTAAGTATAATGAAAAATAATTTTCATTCTTATCTACTTTAAAAAAAAAAAAAAAAATGCAATAGCAAATAGATTAGCGATAATATTTACGCTAAAAAAAAAAAAATATTTATGTGAAACAAAAAAAAAAAATAAAATAAATTAAAATGAAAAAAAACAAAATTATTTTTTTCTTTCTTTTTTTTTATTTTTAAAAAGGAAAAAAGATTTTTTTTTTTCTTCAAAAAATATTTTTCATCTCATTACACAAAATACTCTTTCAACTTAGAAATTTTTTTTTTTTTATTTCCATCCAATTATTTTTCTTCATTTTCAATTTTTTTTTTTATTTTTATTTCTTACTTTTTTTTTTTATTTTATTTCTATTTTATTTTATTTTATTTTTTTTTTCATCTAATCTTTCTTTCCAATTCAGTTGTTTATTCAACTGCAATGATAATTTCCGTCCAATTTTTAAATTTATTTTTAAAATAGTATAAATAGTAAAAAAAAGGAAAAAAAAGAGAAATAAAATATTGATTTTTTTGAGGAAGAAATTTAAAAAAAAAAGAGAAATTATTAGATATATAGTAGAGGAAAAATTTTTTTTTTTAAATAACATTTAAAAGTTTTCAATTTATTCAAAATTTAATGATTAATATTATTTAAATTTTTAATAAATTAATAGATTTTAGAATATTACTACGATTTATGTTAAAAATTAAATAATCATTATAATAAATAAATTTTTTTTTATCTGTTATACTATGATTATCTTTTTTTAAAATAATTTTTTTTTTTTTTAAAAAAAAGGAAAAACTTAAA